TGGATAGGCGACAAGGCTTTTGTCAGGTAGTGTATGAGGATGAGTTAATTATAAAAGTATTTTCATTTTTGTGTGCTCTTTCTCTTCACAGAAGTATTGATTGACCGATTCTACAAATGTAATTGTGAAATCTACAGAAAACATCTGAAGTCCATCACATTGTTCCAGTTTCAGTGGTTTGTCCGGCCCCAGAACAAATCTCCAAACCTGTCCAACGTGTGTGTCTTTGTTTTTCTAATATGCTTGTGTTTGGTTTTCAAATGCCTCTGTGAAGCAGGACAATGCATGTTCCTATATGAATGATGGGAACGGCCTTTATTTCGACATGACAATTCATTTGTCATGCTAACACATACTGTTCTGTATGTTTCCCTGTATGCGGGACATTGATTTTCTTTTACAGTAAAATGAAACTCCTGGCACATTTTTAATAATCACTGACATTTTGATTGATGGGATTAAAGTTCATTTCTATTGAACTAGTACCATCTTGCCACAATCATTCAACCATGCAAAGCTTCTTGTAACTGTAAATTTGCAGTGTGACATTTCTACAGCATCCCAGTTTTTATGAATTAGTTCAACTACTGTACATTTACATCAGATTTGCCCTTAAATCAGCCTTTGAAGACTACAGCGGCATTCCGAGTGATCGTTTTTGATCGCGTGCTATTTTAATCAAAACATTCCTGATATTTGTCCCTGGCAGCAACTTAGCCTACTTCAACACTTCTTCTAGCATGTTGGCATAGAACACGCAATCCACACAGGCAGCTGCAGTGCAGTCAAGCAGTTTTGCATACCAGCACATATGGCCCAAGGGAGAGAGACACAGAAAGAGAGAGAGGGTGGGGGGCATAAATGTGAATTAACCCATTCTCTGGAATTCCATACTGTATTCACAGGGATTAAGGATCTCATCAGTCAAGTACAAAAGAATAGTTTTGGTTTAGTGGCTTATCTGGCTTGATTACCTTTAAGTGTTGTTACTTAGAAGGCTATTAATTTAAATGAAACATTTGAGTTAATTTCATACATTAAGTCTCACTTTATTTAAGCAGCATATTATAGCCTTTTTAGATTACACATTTACGTCAAAAAATTAGTTATCAGAACAGAAAGTAATATTTAACTATGGTGATATAATTTTTGGCTAGACACGTAGTACACTATACTACTATAATAATTTATAATTGTAGTGTGTGTGTGTGTATATATATATATATATATATATATATATATATATATATATATATATATATATATATATATATGTGTATATATATATATATATATATATATATATTACTATTGTTAATATTATTATTATTATTATTATTATTGTTATTATTATTATTATTATTATTATTATTATCATTAACTCTCTGAATTTGCCTGTAATAGGGGCATATTATTTATAGGAACATATATTATTTATTTAGATATGTTTGAACATTGGCCGATGCAGTGGCGCAGTAGGTAGTGCTGTCGCCTCACAGCAAGAAGGTAGCTGGTTCGATCCTCAGCTCAGTTGGTGTTTCTGTGTGGAGTTTGCATGTTCTCCCTGCATTCGCCTGGGTTTCCTCCGTGTGCTCCGGTTTTCCCCACAGTCCAAAGACATGTGGTACAGGTGAATTGGGTAGGCTAAATTGTCCGCTGTGTGTGTGAATGTGTGTGTGAATGATGCCCAGAGATGGGCTGCGGCTGGAAGGGTATCCACTGCTCAAAAATGTCCTGGATAAGTTGGTGGTTCGTTCCGCCGTGGCGACCCCGGATTAATAAAGGGACTAAGCCGACAAGAAAATGAATAAATGAATGTTTGAACATTTTTAGAGACAATATATCATTCTGTTTAAAGTGTTTAGTTTGAATGATCTAATGTTTTTACAAAGTTTACATATGCAACAAGTCGTTATGTACTGATTAAAATTTTAATAAAGTATTAAAACAAAGTAAATTAGAGTTAATTGTTGTTGCTATTGTAATTATTGTTGTATATGACAGGCAGGCAGACAGATAAGATGGATGGATAAATAAACAAATAATAATAATAAATAAATACAAAATATAACAAAAAGTTAATTCATTAATTTTCTTGTCATGTTAGTCCCTTTGTTAATTCGGCCACAGCGGAATGAACCGCCAACTTATCCAGCATATTTTTACTTAGCGGATGACCTTTGAGCCGCAACCCATCTCTGGGAAACATTCAGAGATGCATTGCCCCAAAAAGTTAATTATTAATTATTGTTGTACATGACAGACAGATAGACGATAGATAGACAGATGGATGTACAGACGGACAGACGGACAGAAGGACAGACAGACATACAGAAAGACAGACAGACGACAGACAGACAGATTACCTAATAATAATAATATTATTAATAAATAATAATTTATTTTTAAGCTTTTCAGTTATGTTAATAGAGGCAAGTGTATTTTCAGGGCCGGATTAACCAATGGGCCTTATGGGCACAGGCCCAGGGGCCCGTGCGCACGAGGGGCCCCTGCGAGGGGGGAGAAAAAAAGACAATTTCGGAGTGTCTGTTTAGGCTAATTGCAAATAGCGCATCTAGTTGGACTAAGCTATGCAGGGTTTACGCCCATCGATGGCTGATTGATAGAGACAAGATGAGTAAAGAGCTGTGAAACAATACAGCAGCAGTGGCGCACCTTGTAAGGCACACGGCATCATCTTTTGACGCGATCACTCATAACATTGGTTCGAATCCACCATCAGTTGAACTCGTGCTACTTTTTTTTCTCCCCATTACATATCAGATTGGAAATATATTTATTTTTAACAGGAAAGAAACATTTTTTTAAAATAATGCAAATGTGATATAAAGTCACAAGTGTCTCGTGGGTATTTAATAACGTTTAGTCTTATTATAGGCGCCTGCCGTGCCGCCCTCTCTTCAAAAACTCTATTGCTCAGACAACTGTATTTCCTCTGAGCAAAAAAATCGTGATCACATATTAATATTATTATTATATTTAAATTGCCTTTCTTTCTTTGACTAAACAGAATGCTGTAATTGGTCAAGCGCGGAAACGTCAGTTTTGTAATAACCCGCACTAAACTGAGCGGACTTTAGTGTAACGTTATATCTGTCATAGATCAAAAATGAGTGGACAAGTGGATTTAGCAAACGCGAGAGAAAGAGGAGAGGAGGCATCTTTATTGAGGCATTTTCCATACACACCATCTTTAAACAGACCCGTGATCAGGAGAATGAGGGTACAGAAGAAGACGTTATGGTAACTTTAAATGATGAGAAGCTAGCATTAACCAGGCGGAGGAGGCTAACGGCAGCGCAGCGCGGACTGGATTCATCGTGTGAGAGACAGACAGAAAAGGAGAGAGAGAGGGAGAGAGAGAGAGAAAAAGGCCCAGAAGAGGAGAGAGACAGGAGAGAAGAGGTATAGTGTGTGTGATTTCGGATACTTTTAGGTTTATAATCAAGTCTTTATCACGAGAAGAGTAGAGAAAATACAGGGAGAGGAGAGAGAGAGTAAATCAGTGTTTGTATTATGAAAGACTCAGATTCATAGAACTGGATTGGAGAAGCATTGTGCGTTATATGCCATGGCAATAATATGCTTTATAAGTTTGTAAAAGCAATACATTAAAATACCCTTAAAAAAAAAAAAAAAAAAAAATATATATATATATATATATATATATATATATATATATATATATATATATATATATATATATATATATATATATATACACAGTTAAAGTCAGAATTATTAGCCCCCCTGTATTATTATTACCCCTGTTTATTTTGTTTTTGCACATTTCTAATCATAATAGTTTTAAAAACTTATTTCTAATAAAAGATTTATTTTATCTTTCCCATGATGACAGTAAATTATTTTTTACTTGATATTTTTCAGGACACTTTTATACAGCTTAAATTGACATTTAAAGGCTTAACTAGATTAATAGGTGAACTAGGCAGGTTAGGGTAATTAGGCAAGTTATTGCATAATGATGGTTTGTTCTCTAGACTATTGAAAAAAAATTAGCTTAAAGGGGCTAATAATTTTGTCCCAAAATGGTTTTTAAAAAATTAAAAACTGCTTTTATTCTAGCAAAAAAATATAAAAAATAAAACTTTCTCCAGAAGAAAAAATATTATCAGACATACTGTGAAAATTTCCTTGCTCTGTTAAAAACCATTTGGGAAATATTTTAAAAAAGAAGAAAAAATTGAAAGGGGGCTATTAATTCTGACTTCAACTGTATATATATATATATATATATATATATATATATATATATATATATATATATATATATATATATATATATATATGTAGTTTTATTAGTATTTTATTTAATGCTTTGAAAAATAATTTAAATCTTTGTAGACTATAAATGCATATGTACTATATATCATTTATTTAAATTTGTGGGCAACAAATTATAGATTCATTTTATTTAAAAAATATTATATTATTCTTATTTTTTAAATGCAACTATAGGGGTGCGGCCAGGTAGGGGGCCTTACAAGACAATGTGCCCAGGGGCCCCTGAGTTCTTAATCCGGGCCTGTGTATTTTGATTATAGATTTATGTATTTATTTAGATATGTCTTATTTTTTGCTACCCTTGTTTAATAAGCAGTTTATATTTTTCTTCATAATTACTATAGCCTATTTTTAGGCTAGGTGTCGTGTATTATAAAATGACAGCCTATATGGTGTTTGTTTCAAACTCTAGTTTTTTATTGTCCAAAGTTGTTGAAGGGTGCACATTTGATTAACATCAAGTAGGCTACCTCATAACAAACATTTTAATAACGCTCTTACTGTAGGTTGTTTTATTTCAGGTAGCACATAAAGTCACCATGGTAAAGTTCTGTCATCCAGCAGCCACTGTTATTACATACAAAAATGAGCTAAATCACGTTTTGCAGGGTTATCTTTAACAAGACTATTAGAGATCCTGAAAACCTGTTTGGATAAATTATTAAATGCATGATGATAAAGCCCCGCCCCGTTTTGAGGCATTGAAACGAGGCAGTTGCGTAATTTGTCTTGTCAAACGCGTAAAGCGCTTGACATCTCTGGCTGTCTGTCGTGTTGTGCTTATTTGCGGCATATTGAATGACGTGATCTCCAGTTGATTTCAGCGGAGGACATGCGGTTATGGGCAACGCTTTGTTGAGCAGGATCCACGGCTAGGATAAAACACCTCTAAGATCTGAGCGAGGCATTGAGAGAGAGAGAGAGAGAGGGGACGGTTACAGTGGATTTAATGACACTCCATCAAAGCATCACATTCTGGTAGAGTCGATCTGTAATTGCATGTTACATTGGTAAACAGTGCTGGGTGCCATGCTTTCCGAAACGCTTGTGTTATTTATGCATTTGATCTAAAACGCACTGTAATATGATCGGCTGCACAGCTTACATTTTATAGAAATGTTTTCAAATGGTGTTTTACTGTATATGTGTATGAGCATGCTGGATGAATTGTGCACTCTGCACTGACCTTAATCTGAAAACTCCATAACAGCAGAGCAGCTGTAGGCTCTAAATTCAGATGGAGTATTTCCTAGTTTATGGATGGCAGAGAGAAAGAGAGAGAGAGAGAGAGAGAGAGAGAGAGAGAGAGAGAGAGAGAGAGCGCATGTAATGGGGTTCCTTCTTCGGTGTAAGATAGCAAAAAGCCTGTGTATTCAGAGATGCAAACAAGTCTACTTGTTGCCCTGAAAATTACAGGAATTTGAACAAGTTTGAGAGTGGATTTACTGTACATGTGAACATAATGGACAAAAATCTGTCAGGTTAAACAAGCGTTTCTCTGAACTTGTTTTGTAAGTCTCAAGAATTCTGCATTGTTACTAGGAAGCTTAGAGGATTTCTGCCAAAAAGCTACACATGTATTCAGTGGCGAAACGTGTACATTAGCATTTATGTGTCAATAGCAGATTATTAGCTGGAAATATGCCATGTTTTGAGCCAATCAGCTGTAAACAGCACCTGACTAATGACCAGAAAGCATCATTACAATACAGATGATACCATCAGAATACAAAAACTTTCATCTGAACACTTTAAAAGAGTGTATGAACAGTAAAACTATAATGATTTTGTACAACTTTAAATTTGGTGGAATTCTGTAAGATTTACTGTATATTAAATTAGCTACCATCTAATACAAGGGTGCCCAAACTCGGTCCTGGAGTGCCGGTGTCCTGGAAGGTTTAGTTCCAACCCCAATCAGAATCACCTGAGCTGGCTAATCAAGCTCTTACTAGGCTTTCTAGAAACATCCCTGCAGATATGTTGAGATAAGCTGGAACTAAAATCTGCAGGACACTTACTTTGGACAGTGGACACCCCTGATCTAATAGGACCATGCTAACCAACTAAACGTTACTTTATTCTACATTTCTAATGATTATTGGTGAGTATTCAGGCTTGTTATAACAGTTTTTTCTGTTCCTCAGATCTGCCGAGAAATGGATGGATACCTGCCACCTCAGTTTCATGCATTGTCAGACCATAAGAAGTATTGTCAAGACAATACTTTTACAATGGACCAAGGCACACCATATAGCATAAACATGAATGTTTTCTTACCTGACGTCACCTACCTACGAACCGGCATGTGTAGAACCGTGAGGTCTGTGGGGCCGCAGATAAAGACTGAACCCATACATTCATCGTTCAACTACTCCAGCTGCCATGGCACCGTTGCACCCACCATGACCCATCAAGAGTACACAAACCTCTACACTCCAGCTCCGGAAACAGGTAGTAATGTTTACATCAAGCACGAGACGCCATCCATTGAATTTCAAGACGTTCCACTGTTTCAGCTGTTGAATTCAGATCTGGAGCCCAATGTGCCTGGAGGGCACTCTTGCACAGATTCCCACAATGCCACATGCCCTCCCATGTCAACGTATAACAGCATTCACCCAGCATCCAGTCATGGTACAGAGAGATCCATTTGTAATATGGCCAGCAATGGATATTCTCTACCTGCCCAGTTTGGTCAGCATCCTCAGAAAAGGGCGGCTTATCTACCACCCTCCCCACCCAACTCAGAACCGGGCAGCCCGGACAGGAGGAAAGAGCTCATACAGAACTTATCGCCACCTCCGTCATATGCTGCTAGCATGGCATCAAAAATGGCCTGTCTTACCCCTGGACCAGCACTTTCTGTCCAAACGCAACAGGTGCCTGCCCAGTATAACCGCAGGAGCAATCCTGATCTGGACAAAAGGAGGATACATCACTGTGATGTGCCAGGTGAAACTACATTTATTATCTAGACTCTTTAGTATGTGACTATCAGAGGTGCCTAGATCTGTTCCCAGTGGTCTGCCGTTTAGGGATGCACCAATACTGAAATACGATAATGTTAGAAGATCATATTTGGAGGCAGATGACTGATATATAGAGATAACAATAAATGTAGATTTTTCTAACAGTGATTACAAAAACAACCCAGGAGGCACACAACATTATAAGACGTTAATATTAGGTTAGATTTAGATCATGATGTCAGGTGACCAAAATTCAATGTCTAGCCAGCGTCTAAGTGCATTATTTTGATGTCCAATAACGACGTCAAATTACGTTGATATTTGTTTTTTTAGGTTGTTTTGGTGACTAATCTCCAACGTCTGATAGATGTCATAGTGGTAAAATCCACACAATGTCAAGTTGATTAGACGTTGATATTTGGTTGATTTTAGGTTGGACATTGACGTTGAATTGACGATGGGTTCTGACAATAATCTGATTTTCATTTCCAAACCAAATCCAATGTCCCTATGATGTTGGGGTACAACGTCAATATGGCTTATGTTGTCGTCCGATGCCTGCAGGAAAAAGGCAAGCAAATGCAGTAAACAACAGATTTTATTTCATTTTAATCAAACCACACCACTTCATAGAAGAATTTAGTCTTTTTTCTTTGCAAAATCTGATTTTTGCACATTTTTTGTAAAAAAAAATCAAAAATCAAATCTTTCCTTCAACATAATCTATTCAGAAGTGTGCATCTATGTGCAATGTGTCACGTAATGCACAAGTCAAAACCCTTATGTCCAACTGAAGTAGATCAACTGGTGAAAATAATCCATAATTTATCATCTTTGGCAGTCTTTATATCATTCCTATTAAAAACACTTTAATAAGATTATCTGGAACTTCTAGGCAAGTGTAATTTAGCTGGCTGGGGCTAAAGTCAGCAGGCATTCCAGAAACAGGATTGGACACCCCTGGTATACACTTTGTTTGAAATTGTTGTGTCGGAAGGAAAGACACCGCTTTTTCCACAAAGTCCAAATGACACAGTGCAGGCTTAAATGGCTATTCAGATGATTTAACGTTGCTGAATAGATGCTGTGGACTGACATGACTAAACATCTGGCAATTACCGGTCTCTATGTTGGACGTTGACTGACTAAGAGGCTTAGGACACAATGCAAAACCTTTTGACACTGAATATGAGCCTGCTGGACAAGTCAGAGCTGGCCAGAACATTAAAGGAACAGTTCACCCCAAAAAAAAGACATTTCTGCCATTGTTTACTCACTCGCATGACGTTTTGAACCTGTATGATTTTCCTTTCTTTATGCTAAACACAAAATAACTTTTTCATTGACTTTTATTTTATTGACTTAATCACAGACGTTCTTCAAAATATGAAGAAATAAAATCATACAGGTTTGGATCAAAGGGATGTAGAATTATTATTATTTTTAATTATTCAACTATCCAACCATTCCTGGTTGTATTGAATTTCCTGTGTGTATTTAATAGATATAAGCTTTAATGTTAAAGTTTCAGTTACTGTATTTGCTAACACATGTTGTTTTCTGTTATTCTGTATCAGGATGCAAGAAGGTCTACACCAAGTCCTCACATTTGAAGGCCCACTTACGCACTCACACAGGTAAGACTTGATAAGCAAAATCAGGGAGACCAGAGAGCTGTTTACACAGTTTTCAGTGTGTTATTTCTGTCATTCAAGGTGACTGTACAACAAAATACAAAACAAGTATGTTGGAGATAAAAGAACTTCCTGATTCAATTCTGATTCACACGCTCTCAATTAGATTTGGAGTCATTTAGGCATATTTCAGTCATAATGTCCATTTTGTCCTCAGATTCTCTCTTAATGCTGTAAATTATGCAAGGAATGCTCCAACTTGACACATGAAAAACAGTAGTTTAAAATTGAGCAGTTTCAATTGGTGTTTTCTTTAAAATATATACTGTACTAAGCAAAAGCAAAGACTGACTTTTGCCAACAGAAAAGATCTGCAAAAAGCATTTCTTCTGTAAAACATCTGATATTGTATAAATAAGAGCTGTTTTTTGTTTGTTTGTTTGTTTGTTTGTTTAAAATACTCCATCACTGAAAGGTGAACCGTGGTGAGTTCATTCAGTGAATCAAATGGTTTCTTGTGATTCTTTTTAAATGATTCATTATAGGGATAGTTCACCCCAAAGTTAAAACATGCTCACTATTTACTCACCCTCAAATGGTTTCAAACATTTCTGAGTTTCTTTTTTCTGTTTAATACAAAACAAGTTATTTTAAAATATCTCAGCAGGCACAGGACATCAACATGATGTCAGATTGACACTATACCCTTACGTCGTGGTACTTTGCATTTTGTTTGGAAATGAAAATCGGGTTGACATCAAAACCCAATGTCAGGCCTACATCAATGTCTAACGTCAGACAGATGTTGAATTTTGGAAACTTCTCAACGCAACCTAAAAACAACAAAATAGCAATGTCTAATGATGTTACGGCTTGACGTTGTGTGTACATTACCACTATGACATTTATCAGAAATTGGATTTTGGTTGCCATACCTGACAAATAAATGTCAGTATTGTATTTGACATTAATATGACGTTGGTTTGAAACGTTGGCTTGACATTGGATTTTGATCACTTTCCAACAAAACCTAAAATCAACCAAACATCAATGTCATTTCATGTCGTTATTGGACGTCAAAATAACATTGTCCTTTGTGAAGGTGACCTACAGTGCATCTGAAAGCATTCACAGCGCTTCATTTTTTCCACATTTTTTCATGTTACAGCCTTATTCCAAAAAAGATTAAATTAATTTATTTCCTCCAAATTCTACACACAATACCCCATAATGACAATGTAAAAAAAGATTTTTAGAAATTGTTGCAAATTTATTAAAAATAAAAAATCTGAAAAATCACATGTACACAAGTATTCACAACCTTTGTCGTGAAGCTCTAAATGGACCTCAGGTACATTCTGTTTCCACTGATCATTCTTGAGATGTTTTAGCAGCTTAATTGGAGTTTATCTGTGGTAAATTTAGTTGATTGGACATAATTTGAAAAGGCATACACCTGTCTATATAAGGTCCCAGGGTTGACAGTGCATGTCAAAGCACAAACCAAGCATGAAGACAAAGGAATTGTCTGTAAACCTCCAAAGTAGAATTGTCTCGAGGCACAAGACTGGGGAAGGTTCCAGAAAAAAATCTGCTGCTCTGAAAGTTTCAATGAGCACAGTGGCCTCCAACATCTGTAAGTGGAAGATGTTTGGAACCACCAGGACTCTTCCCAGAGCTGGCTTTCCATCTACGCTGAGTGATTGGGAGAGAAGGGTCTTAGTCAGGGAGGTGATCAATAACCCGATGGTCACTCTATCTGAGCTCCAGCGTTCTTCTGTGGAGAGAGGAGAACCTTACAGAAGGACAACCATCTGTGCAGCAATCCACCAATCAGGCCTGTATGGTAGAGTGGCCAGAAGTCACTCCCCAAAAGGAATTTACCAAAAGCCATCTGAAGGACTCTCAGACCAGAAGAAACCAAATTTTCTGGTCTGATGAGACTAAAATTGAACTCTTTGGAGTAAATGCTAGGCGTTATGTTTGGAAAAAACCAGGGACCGCTCATCACCAGGCTAATACCATCCCTATAGTGAAGGATGGTGGTGACAGGATCATGCTGTGGGGATGTTTTTAGCAGCAGGAACTGGAAGACTAGTCAGGATAGAGGGAAAGATTAATGCAGCAATGTACAGAGACATCCTGAATGAAAACCTGCTTCAGAGTGCTCTTAACCAGCATTGACCACTTCCAGCAGGACAATGACCCAAAGCACACCACCAAAATATCAATAGAGTGGCTTAGCGCTTCACTTTTTCCACATTTTTTTTATGTTACAGCCTTATTCCAAAATGGATTTGCACTGCACTCACAACAACTCAGTGAAGGTCCTTGACTGGCCCAGCCAGAGCCCAGGCCTAAATCCTATTGAACATCTCTGGAGAGATTTCAAAAAAGTTGTACACCGTCGCTTCCCATCCAACCTGATAGAGCTTGAGAGTTACTGCAAAGAGGAATGGACTTAGTTTCAGAAAATTTTTAAAAGACAGGTGTGCCAAGCTTGTGGCATCATATTCAAAAAGCGTTTAGGCTGTAATTGCTGCCAAAGGTGCATCAACAAAGTATTGAGCAAAGGCTGTGAACACCTATGTACATGTGATTTTTCAGATTTTTTTATTTTTTTATTTAAAAAAAAATCTTTTTTCATATTGTCATTATGGGGTATTGTGTGTAGAATTTAAAGAAAATAATTTAATTTAATCCATTTTAGAATAGTAATAGTAACATAGACAAAGGCCAAAAAGGTGAAGCGCTATTAAAACTTTCTATATGCACTGTAAATACAACCTAATATTAACATCTTATGGCTTTGTGTGTCTGCTGGGATGTTATAAACCATTGACTTCCATAATAGAAAAAACAAATATCATGGAAGTCAATGGTTACAGGTTTTCACCATTTTTCTACAGAAAAAAGAAACTCAAACAGGTTTGAGACAAGTAAATGATGAGTAAATGATAACAGGATTTTCAGATTTGGTTGAAACTATTCCTTTAAAAGTAATGCCTCAGAAGAGATATTTGGTCTACATTAATTGTGCAACATGATAGTGATAGACAACGTGATAGACAATTTGATAGGAATACCTTTTTCATTTAGTTGTATCCTAATTCTGACTGTGTTCTCCCCTCACACTATATTGGCCTGTGTTTCATTACAGGCGAAAAGCCATACAAGTGCTCATGGGAGGGGTGCGACTGGCGCTTCGCCCGTTCCGACGAGCTGACGCGCCACTTCAGGAAGCACACGGGGGCCAAACCTTTCCAGTGCTCTGTATGTAGCCGTTGCTTCTCCCGATCGGACCACCTGGCCCTCCACATGAAAAGACACCAGAACTAGAGGCACCCACTCTCGTTGTTCTGACGGTGCTGCAGGAGGGCAATCGGGACCTCTGTTGTTGATACTAATTAGGATTTGGGTGTGTTGGTTAATCTCGGGTTTTGGCAGTTCATCAGGTACAACAGGACCAAACCCTGCCGTCGGTACGGCTCCTGTGGTCACAAAAACCAGCTAATTGATGAAAACTTGGCTCGATGGCCAGATGGGACATTCTTTTGACATGTTTGTCTGTTTCTTCATTTGTCTGCATATTTTGAGGCCATTCTTTAGGACTACTTTTAACGTGCCTTTTTTACCTTGTAGAATTGAGGTGCCACGTAAAAATGTACATTGTTTTTAAGATTGTGTGGGCAGTTTAAGTCAACTGTAAAGCAACATTCTGGGTTTATGGCAAGTTTAGCTTAATTGACATCATTTGTGGTGTAATGTTGAATACCACAAGATTGCAGTGCTGGATGGAGCACACAAAATCAAGCACTTGATTGCGTTGAAGAAAAAAAGGCTATTAAATTATTACAGTACAGAAATTTCAAATGTTACAAAAGTTCTTGATTTTTAATGAACTTGAGCATTTTTTTTTTCTTTTCAGAAAATGTTGTGGTAATCAACAGAACACCAAGTTCTGTCAGCCGAGCTAAGGGGTAGTTCACCCGACAAAAAAAATGTAATTTCCTCACTATTCACTTACATTAAAGTGGTTTTAAACTCTTGAGAAATTATTTCTACAGTTGAACACAAAATAAAATATTGTTTAGAATGTTAAAAACCAGCAGCCATTGACAAACTAAAAAATAATAATAATATGGAAGTCACTAGCTATGTTTCCATCCAAAAATGCGAATTAACATTATGCGCAAAATAATTGGAATATTGCAGCAAAGATATGCAAATAAATCACTGTTCTCATCCAACAAGTCAAATAGAACAAAATCGCCACTTCCTGATTAACAGACACCAAATGTCAACAGTAAAAATGGAATTTGCTGTAGTGGGAGAAGCTGAACGAATCTTTTCTTTATTTAATAAATTACTAGCACTTCAATGCGGACATGTGGTGTTTGAAGGTATGTGACGTGGAGCACAGATGCTCTTGATTCTGGAGGCAATTAATAATATAATAACACCAATACTAAATTATTTTTTGGCATTTTAGAGTAATTAAAACAATGGTTTGGATGTTTAACAATGTGGTTTGTCCCTTCACACACATTTTTATCATCACATGATCTCCTATAATAAAATCACATGACTTTTTTTAATGCACATACTGGAATTTGTTCAGTAAAAGTGTTTCCATCATAGTTTATGCGCATCTTTTCTTATAGAATAAAAAGTTTATCCTACTCAGTTATGCACATTTTTTTATGTGCATTTTCAAAATTGTTGCACATCTTGGCATTTCCATCAACCGATTTTTTTTTATGTGCATATCCAAAATGTGCATTAAAATAGGTGGATGGAAATGTAGCTTATGGCTGCTGCTTTCCAGCATTCTTTAACATCTTTATTTGCGTTCAACAGAAGAAAGAAACTAATTTTAAGCTGAGCTATCCCTTTAAATTGCACTGAACCCAGAATATATATCGTATATCACAAGGTAAATAATATATTTAAAAAAAGAGCTGTAGTGTTGGTTGTAGAATCAAACCGCAGAGCAGTCATGAGAATGTAAGCCACGAATGCTGAGTCACAATGTTTTAAGGTGTCTTAAAAGCAGCACTTGATAAGAAACAGTGCTTCAGAAATTGGTGCGGGAGCTGGCGGGTAATTAGGAAATTAAATGTAGCTTCAGAACACCAAAGAGTTGGATCAAGTCCAAACTGCGATATGTTACGAAGATGATTCGCTTTATGGTAGCAACATGTTTTTAAAAGAGCACAATCTAAAGATTGATTGTTAATTCTTGTGCTTTACTGAAATGCAATAAGTGGTGCAAATGCTGTATTTTTTCCTAGAAAGTGGAGAGTTCAGATATCGATTACTTCCATAGTTGTTTATTTTTTTCTTACTATGCATTTGTTTGGGATAAATGATAGCTTTATATGTACAGTACATATGATGTGTATTTATTTTGCACATTTTATTTCTTACTTTGTATTAATTGTAACTCAATGCTTACATGAAATGTGCACCGGGTTACTGGGAAGTGGTTTTAGAAATCTTTGTTCAAACTAATAGTGCTCTAAATGGCTGCATTATGTGGAACAATGTGGCAGCTGATTGTTTACATTAGTTGGTTTGGCTTATGGTGTGCGTTACATCTGTATGTGTGGCCTCATAAAACCTCTTATTTTCCATTACAGTAATAAAAATGTTTTCCGCCTTATTTTTTCAGAGATTGCAAATGCATAACAGAAGGGACTCGTTACGGATGACAAGCTAGTGTTGTTCCTGAGATGGAAGTAAAATAGATTGGGAAGCATATGGAGTTTTTTTTATTTATTTATTTTTTTTTATCTGAGGTAATGTAATATGAGGACTTACAGTGTTTATACAGCTATATGGAAAAAATAAAGACACAAATCTCGACTTGACAGTTCTAAGATTCTCAGAATTTATATTTTATAGCATTTGAATTTGAGTGTTTTCTTTTGTAAACTACTGATGACATTTCTTTCAAATTTTAAATAAAAATGTTAGCATTTAAAGTATTTTTGCATAAAATAACGAAAAATTATTTAGCATTTATCACAACGCAAACAACTAACGAAACGCTCTGCATTTTGTCGCAACGCATACAACTAAAGAAACGCACTGCATTGTCACAACAAAAACAACCGAAGAAACGCGATGCATTTTGTTAAACGTTTCTTTAGTTGTTTGCGTTGTGACAAAATGCGGCACGTTTCTTAGGTCGTTTGTGTTGCAACAAAATTCAGAGTGCTACTTAAGTTGTTTGCGTTGTGACAATGCAGCACATTTCTTAAGTTGTTTGCATTGCGACAGGCAGCTAGTTTCTTCAGTTGTTTGCGTTGTGACAAGCAGCTTGTTTCTTCAGTTATTTGCATTGTGACAATGCAGCGCATTTCTTCAGTTGTTTGTGTTATGACAAAATGCAGCGCATTTCTTCAGTTGTTTGCATTGACAATGCAGCTTGTTTCTTCAGTTTTTTGCGTTGTGACAATGCAGCACATTTCTTCAGTTGTTTGCATTGCGACAAGCAGCTAGTTTCTTCAGTTGTTTGCGTTGTGACAAGCAGCTTGTTTCTTCAGTTATTTGCATTGTGATAATGCAGCGCATTTCTTCAGTTGTTTGCATTGTGACAATGCAGCGCATTTCTTCAGTTGTTTGTGTTATGACAAAATGCAGCACATTTCTTTAGTTGGTTGTGTTATGATAAAATGCAGCACATTTCTTTAGTTGTTTGCATTGTGACAGTGCAGCACATTTCTTTAGTTGTTTGCATTGCGACAGGCAGCTAGTTTCTTCAGTTGTTTGCGTTGTGACAAGCAGCTTGTTTTTTTCAGTTATTTGCATTGTGACAATGCAGCGCATTTCTTCTGTTGTTTGTGTTATGACAAAATGCAGCGCATTTCTTCAGTTGTTTGCATTGTGACAATGCAGCTTGTTTCTTCAGTTTTTTGCATTGTGACAGTGCAGCACATTTCTTCTGTTTTTTGCGTTGTGACAAAATGCAGCGTGTTTCTTAAGGTGTTTGCATTGTGACAATGCACCTTATTTCTTCTGTTGTTTGTGTTATGACAAAATGCAGCGCATTTCTTCAGCTGTTTGCATTGCAACAATGCAGCTTGTTTCTTCTGTTGTTTGTGTTGTGACAATACAGCACATTTCTTTTTTTTGTTTGCGTTGTGACAAAATGCAGCTTGTTTCTTCAGTTGTTTGTGTTGTGACAGGCAGCTTGTTTCTTCAGTTATTTGCGTTGTGACAATGCAGCGCATTTCTTCTGTTATTGTGTTGTGACAAAATGCAGCGCATTTCTTCAGTTGTTTGTGTTGTGAGAATTTGCAACATGTGTGCTGTCAAACTGATGAAGATCGTTTCTTATGTTGCTGGTGTTTTTGTAATTGCATGTGTTTTCTTAAATTGCAGCACATTAAGCTCTCTAATTAAAAAAAGCTCTAAAATCACTATATATATATATATATATATATATATATATATATATATATATATATATATATATATATATATACACATACATGAAGAAATGTTATCTTTATAGAACAAAAGAAACATTAACATTTTATTTTAGATATTTAGACTCACTTTGCTTATTAGATGTGGGTTTTAGAGTAAAATGCTAATAATTGTTTTCTTCTTTAACATTTTTACTGAAACAATTTTTCCAAATGTAAAATTATATATACATTAATATATTTACATTTTACTCAAACCCATATCTAATAAACTCAGTAAATCCTGAGAAAATGAGTATTTCTTGAGCAATCGCTTATATTTTCTCTGACTGTATGATTCAAAAAACACATGGCTCTGTTCAAGATTTGCAACTAGAAGTTCTTTCATTTTGTGACCAAAACCGAAAGAGAAAAAGTCTAATTGCTGTAATTAAAAGGTTCAGACTGCTTAAGATTAAAATGTTAAACACACCCAGTAATCACTCTAATTTGCAGCACTTAGATGAGTACAGTTAATGTTAAATGCGTACACTATTACTGTTATTAGTCTTAATATAGAGGCAAATCTTTAAAGTCTCAGTCTGTCGAGTTTGACTGGAGTGTCCCGTCGTCCTGGCTCACATGTGATTAGGTGAATAAATGGAGGTGTGGCTGCAGTTGCTAATACTGGCTGTCAGATTTTAAGTCATCGGGTTGCGAGTGTTGAGTGGTAACACCCAATTAAATTGATACTATAATTATCTAGCTTGTGTACAAATCACTGGATAACAGCAGAAAGGCTTCAGTCATGGAAATAACCTGACGTTTTCATAATGAATTATTTTCGGTGGTATGATGTTATTTTTCTGAATCATTTCTTATATAAGCAGTCATCATTGAACATGAACAATTCGGTGTTTTTTTATTTCCTGGCTTACTTGTAGATATTACCGTTTATTGACACTATCATGTAAAAATAGGCCTACACAGGAAGAAATACACTTTTAAAAAACATTTTATCTAGTAGCAGATACTATACAGATTCAACTATACTTTCCCATTATCAAAATAATCTAAAAATATTAAATTTTTGTACATTGTAATTGTTAAACATGGTAAACTCAAACCTCAGTGGTTATGCTAATTTAGCCTTAGCTAAACCATGGTATTTAAAGCTACATACTGTTAATACAATTAGTATGTCAATACGAATAGTAACTACCTGACAAAAATGTACTACTGTATAACAAAACCAAGGTTAATTTGAGTATAGTTCATAAGTATTTATGCTAAGTCTCAGAATAAAGATGCTATCATCTAGAAACAGCCCCACACAAGAACAATTAACAAATACACCAAAATGTCCATTAAATTAACTAATATCACAGATAGTACTCTGCCTTGTATAGATGATGTAAGGTTATTTACTATTTACTTTTCCAAATACTAGTACAATTATTAAGTCAAATATAAGGTCACTCTTGTTGAAACTATAGCCTAGCTAATCTGTGTGGGCTCATTTAAGCAAAAGTTAGCATGCTAGCTATGACAGGTCTATAGCAAACACATTTCGGGTGTATTATTTTCAGAATCAGCTCTAAAATAAGCAACAGATTCTGAACTTTACCTCCCAAAGTAAATGTGCAGATATACTATACCTTATTAGGTAGCCTACTTTAGGCAATGCTACAAAGTCTTTGGACAGGAATAAGTAGAATTATGCAATGTTTTGTCATTAAGTCCACTAAATTAACCACAGGTATCACAGCTAGAACTCTGCCTTGTATGCTCAAAACAGACAATGTAGGATTATTTACTTTACAAAATACTAGTACAATTTTCAAGTAAAATATAAGGCTGCTATTCGAGACTGCCATAGCCTAGCTAATCTGTGTTGGCTGATTTAAGTTGGCATGCTAGCTATGATAGGTCAAGCAAACACATTTCGGTTGTATTATTTTCAGAATTGGTTCTAACGTACTGTAAGCAACAGATTCAGAACTTTATCCCCCAAAATAAATAATATACTGTACCTTCATGAGTAGCCTACTGTAGGCTATGCTAACAAGTCTTTGGACAGGAATGAGTAGAATAGTGCAATATTTTGTCAATAAGTCACTTAATTAACAGATATCACAGATAGTACCCTGCCTTGTATGCTCAGAACAGATGAT